CGAATTATTTTATTGAAAAATGCACCCAACCACACTCATGCAGGCTCTTACAGCCGACGTGATGAGTTTTGTTATTACCGGATGAAGGCTATTGAGACATATTGAACATGTTTCAAACCGCAGCAGCGCCTTCTATTACGAGACTAGTATCAGTGTAGCTTATTTTGAAAAAAATGGACTGTACTGTCCTGCAGGGCATTAAAGGTTAATCATTATATCGCCTTTAGAGTAATCACATTTTTCTTATCCTCCCGTACGATTTTGTGTGTCTATTAATCTTGTGTTTCTCATTCACTCTCATAACTTAGTCCATTCAACTCATAAGCACTGTCCATTGGAATTTTGTGATCTGTTGATAACTTTTTTCCCTTGGTCATAAAATTAGTTTCGCCTTTATTTTTGTCTAATAACCTCGACATTGACAGGGTTTATTGAGCTGACATGTTGAAATAATGCAGTTTGCTGGTTTACAGCCTAGTTGAAACTCATTGAAATAGATCTTCATTCTCGATAACTCCCTCCTCACTTTTATTCAAATGTAATACTGAAATCCGTGTGCTCTGCCTCAAATTCGTATACATTATGTCAACTTTTTCTCTACCTTTGTGTCTGTCTGTCTCTTTTGCATCTGCAAATCGCTCTTCTGTTCCCTCCCCCCCCCCCTCGACTTTCTGCTACTTTGGTGAACCTTCCCTCTGTGAAACCCGAAGTCAGCTAAATGGCTAATGATAGCTATCAAAACGCCTGCCACTTGAAATAAATATATACTTTGATTGCATTTATTTCAGTTAATAAACCTACGAATATTTCATTTGTTGGCTCTGTTGTCTTCTAGCCGAAACACCGTCAACAGCACCTATAAGTTCATTCCTTCGTAGTGGCTATCAATGGCACACTGCAGTAATCTTATTAGCTGTTGGACTGGGTCTGATTTCCTGTCTCTTTGGCATTCTCGTTGGTCGGTGTCGCCAGCGTGGTCGATTTGACAAGGAGGGCCCGCGTTCAAAAGCCGTCGCTCAGAGTCACTTACGCCGACGGATTATGAGGACCCGGGGTTTATCGAATAGTGGCATTGAGAAAAGTGGGTTGCTATCGAAATTGCAACTCTAATCGCCCTAATTTGTGCATTTATTTCTCCTATTGCATTTCATTTACATTCCTTTCTTATTAGAGTATACTTATTTGTCGTCGCGTCTTTGAATTGTTACTTGATTTTGGGTTTTGGTGTAATTTTTGTATCATTTTCGTGACTTTTGTCCTCGCAGTGATCTTGCTCCTTTGGACTCTTTCCAGTAATATATTACTATGAATTCGACTCTTTTCGTATTTCCTTTTAACAGCTTACATTTTGTATCGCTGGAAACAAAGTGGTCAGTAATATCTTTACTTGCTTAGTAAATGCCAAACCACACGTTTGGAATCAGCAAGACCTACCAGTAGCATTACACCTGATGAGAGATGTGATGACCTAGAGATAATCTGCTTGGGTCAGATGGCTGTAAGTGATCAGTCAGGTCAATGTTGTGCGAAGTAGGCTACTCAATGTGAAATATGTGATATGTTTTAGCAGTTTTGGTTTGAATCGTTTTGTATTGTGCTACAGTCGTATTGAAATTGTAACTGATGCAATCCCTTCAGTGAGGAGCAGGTTATGTCACCATAACCTAAAAAGACATGGTATCTGATCGAGCGAAATATTAATGTGGTGCAATAAGAGCGTAGTATGTTCATTCATATCAGCGATATTCACTATTCATTGACCAAGTGAAATAAACAAATGATTGATCGTAGCCGTAAGCTCTAACTATAGAATATATAGTGCAATTAAATTATATTAACTTTTCAAATTAATAACTAGTTATTTAATTACTTGGTATAATTTGTTTAACTAGATAAAATCGATTTTTATAATATGTTAGATTTACACTGAATTAGAAATAAGCGTAATTTAAAGTCCGATAGGTGTATCAATTGAATTTTTCCCAGGTGATGGTTATTTTAAATCGTCAGCAACCATCAATACAGATTTACATTTTACTAACTCAAATTCCCCACAATATGTTCTAAAATGCACTGACTCCCCCGAAAAACAGCAGTTTAAATAATTGTGTAAATTATAAATAAGTACGCAAAGTGTTGTTAGTAATGCCTCATTTAATCCGAAAATAAATTCCTTAAATGACGATCACATTTTGAAAAAAAGAGTGTCGATTAATTACAGGAAAGAAAGAGCTTATCATTCAAGCCAACAACGCGGATGTGGAAAGTTTGTGGGACACGTTATCGCGTTGTTCGTCATCGTATGCTTGCATGTCTGCTCGCCAGGATTGGGAATGTGGGACACGTTATCGCTGTGTGCACCATCGTATGTCTGCATGTCTGCTCGCCAGGATTGGGAGGTCTTATGCCTGCATGTCTGCTCGCCAGGATTGGGAGGTGCGGCGGTACACTCTGTGTGCAGCGACCGTACAAACAGTGACCACTAGCCTCTGTTTGTTTGACCTAATCCGCCATCCTGATCATGATCGAACCGGCGACCTGGGAGGTGCGACCGTACAAACAGTGACCAATCATTAACCTCTGTTTATGACCGTACAAACAGTGACCAATCATTAACCTCTGTTTAACTTAATCCCCCATCCTGATCATGAGTGGCTCCATGTGTGTACACTTGATCCGCAATATATTTATTTATATCAAATGGCAGGCGTCTTGATGGTTATCATTAGCCCTCTAGTTGCCTTCAGGCTTCACAGAGAGGAAGGAACATCAACTTGAAAAAAGTCGAGAGGGGGAAGAGAGGAGTGTTTCAAAGATGTAAGATACAAACACAAAGGTAGAACAAAGGTGAGGTGAGTACTGTGAAAATTTTCGAATATGGCATAGAGTGGGGTGATGGTAGTTTGAAGTGAAAAGTCAACTGCCAGTTAATAGACTTTTTGCCGTATGAATATACGTTGCCCAGGGTGCACTACGTGGAGGTAAGTCTGTCGCACACCCCTGATCCGCAATATACGTCCTGAATAGACGTGCTCCGTGCTACACGTCTGTTTCCTTTATAGCTGGGCAATAGTTTAGCTGGTTCTGGGAGTCTAGCTAGATATAGGAGGATCTGCCATAGAGATTTCTGAGTCAGTCAGGCTTTAATAAAGTAGCAATCCGCTATAATTTGAACCTCCCTCCCCCCCCCTTGTAAGAGTCATCTTAGTCCGGATGAGTTATTCATTAATTGACAAATAGTTCTAAAACTAATTTGTATGTTTCAATAAAATCCTAATATATAGGAGACACCCTCTTAATGTTAAGATCGATATTATGATAATCATGAAAACAGCATGGCAGTTTTCGTTCATTCATCTTAAATTTTCATTTTGCCTCCTAATTTATGCAGAAGCTTCCACAGGCCATGCTTGATGTATTTTGTTCACATGTATGATATGAACGGAAAGTTGGGTTCGATTATTTATGACGAACCATCCCTTTTCAATAGCTATCAAAAGAACCATATGTCCGACATATTGACAATAACTAGGACCTAGAGACCAGAAAGAATTAATCGAGTTGTTCAGGACAATATTCGTTGAAAAATCTTGAGGATGCTTGTTCATGATTGATGTTAATTATCACGCCAATACGTCAATTCAATGGCTAACTTTTATGAAGACATCTTTCCATATTGTGAAAAACTTTTCAACAATAAAGTGAATCAACTTCCCGACCACCCGATGATCGATATAGCGACATAGGTTACTTGACCCATTCCTTCTAATTAGTGAAGTTGTCCGCATTAATTTTGGCACCTATAGAAGTCGATAAAATTTTTGATAAAACCAAACTCGGTAAATATTGCCCTCATAAACATAATCTAGACAGTCATCCCTACTGATGTAAAGTGGACAAAATACGCAAGCACTCTATACTTATGCTAAAGATAGTGTCCCGTCGCCAGTGTCTCTGTAGGGTAACTGATAGATACGAAAGGTAATGGGTAGCCTATTAGCAATGTGCTCACCGATGGTCTATTATTTTGCCAGTTTAAGTCACTTACAATGGGCCCAAAATAATATCTTCACGTTCCCTATTCGACATGTAGTCAAGATAAACAAAAACATGGTCTATGACTGAGTAAAATTCTTAATGCTTGTATTAGAAGAGCAATGAGCATAGAACATAAATGCGAAGGAACTAATTCTAAAGCATAAATATATCAACTTGTGAATAGCATGTCTATCCTTAGGAAATATTAAGAAATCATTGTTAAGAACAAAATTCCTTACATGTAATAATCTTCACAGCTATAAACAAAAATGAAATTTAGCATACATTATATTCATTTTATAATGGTGAATATTACAACAAGAAGTTAAAAGTACATAAGTTTCGGTTTTTTATCCATGGCTGAATAGAATATGTTGTAAAATGCAAGAACAAGAGAAATATAGTCAGAACATACGTGGAATCAAGAGTAAAATTTTGTCATGAATTCCACCAAACATTGAGGTATCATTATGCCAAATGCTTTTGTCAAATATCTCAAGAGCTCAATATCAATGGTAACATTCGGCTGAATTTGATTAGACTAACAGCATAAGTTAGCAAAAGCATCCACTAATTATTTTATGGATGAATTTTGAACATGCTCCATGCAATGAAAAATTTCTCTAATTAGAAGTTGGTCTTATTATTATAGAGTAACATTTGATATTACTTTAAATGATTTACATCGGGGAATAAAACACGTTTCACTTGCTGGCGGACTGTTTGAGAGGAAATGAGGTTGATTGTCGTATCTGTTTTCTTGCTGGGCTTAACTTTTGGTAATTTTTTTTAAATTCTTAATTTCATAGCTCTTGGATGCGATAATCCAACGGTACAATCAAGATATTATACTTCCACTGACTCGCTACTCTCTTCTAAGACTGTATTGATCGTTGAAGGCCGTGCAACTTGCAAAAATGATGAAGTTTGTTGAAAAATTTCTAGTTTATGCTTCTTTCTAGTTGAATGAATTGTATGCTGTTCTTGGTGATAAGATTGTTCCCGTCAGTCGGAATCTAGAAACTGATGAATTTCAAGTTTCTTTCTCAAACGATCACAAAAAGTTCGCAAAGGGTTATTATTATGTTCGTTTCTATGACGATGTTGGCTACCTCAGTCTCCTCAAGGCTCAAACCCAGGGACAACCTCTTGACAGTGTAAAGCCTGTTTTTAGTGTTGAAGTCTATCATAGGGTAATTTGAATTTTCTTCTATCATGATCCTTTCCCTAGGGTATTTGGCTCAGTCCTATTATTCAATCCGAAACTGTGGCTCTTCTAGCTGCTACTCTTATTGGCTTTGGTGCTGTTATCACGAAGAACAAGTTCTTCAAATAGACGAGTATGGGAACTTTTGCAGCTGCATTATTCAGTTAATCTTAATTAATCGAAAACTTTTTCGTATACAAACCCTACTGTATATTGTTCATATTTAATTTAATTGTTATATTTGGGCTGATTTATTTGTTTTCCATTGATCTATTAACGTAGTTTATTATAAAACGGTTGTAGCCTTTATTCGGTTGAGAGTGTGTTATCATTTCAATAGTTGAGTTATTAATTCTACTTTCAGATTGTAAGTAGAAATTATTTTAGTGGTGAAGATGTTGGTTTTTCATGTACTATTTATTTGTGGCTCCTTTATGTTTACGATAGGGCTGCACATTAGAAGGCTTTGATACTAATTCTTAAATGTGGTCCACTTGGGTTTATTTTAAAACAACCCTGTAAGCCATTTTTGTGTAATAGAGGCATCCTGCATTCTCCGGTGGAAAATTTTGTTTTGGCCCCTTTATTTACTAAAATGAAACCAGTACGTTTAGTTATTCGCCTTACTTGGCTTTCAATGGGGGTCATCTATTCCGTCACCTCTGACATCATGGGCACAGAGATTAAATAGGTCATGGGGTCGCAGTTTGTACTCTTGATCTCCTTGATACCAAAATGTACAATTATCCTTACTCTATTCTTTCATGCGGCATCGTTGGCTCCTATTTGGGAAAATTTGACAATTACTTCTTTTAGCCGTCGTTTTCAAACATTGCAGGTATGAAATACGTTGGGAAAAATTTATCTGAAGTTAATAATTTATTTGATGAATCCTGTTACTAAGCCACATGCTTCTTATCAAGAACTCGGATAAAAGGTAGAGAGATTTGTGGCCGAAACGACTAATTCGTCTGCTGAGTAGTTGTAACTGCTCTTCGGCAGGGGAGTGCCGTTATCGGAGCCACTTTATTCGAGTTTATTCGAGCACCCCAATAAAAGTGACCGTTTGTAGGCCACCTCCCCACCCACTGCTTATTCTAGTCCTTGAAACCCATCAGAGGGGAATAGACGATAGTCTGTCACTTAAAAGACAGCACCCTCAGCACCTGTTTGTTATTTATAGTTGCATTGCCATGATGAAATATAGTAATCACGTCTTGCCATGGGCTATAGCAATAAAGTATCCACATTTATTCACTACTTATCCTTGGAACGCCTATTAGCTCCGTACAGGTACTGGTAGCCTCTTACGTAATTTTGCAATCAAAATAGTGAAAACACTGAGGGCACAGGGTAGAGGGCAGAGTCGGTAAGTTACAAAATTGATTGGGCACTAAGTGCAACCAAACTTTTGCATTTGCGGTGAAACTTTTGCACGCACCTCGCACTTGTTTACTAGGAAATCGAGAGCACCCTTCGCACTTCTCAGTATGCTCTAGGGTGTACGAGAGTGCCTTTGGTATCATTGTGTACTGCATAGGGCAGTTCTCTCGCTAATTAAAATATTAAAATTTGGAAAGCGATGGTTCACTACATGGATAACATTTTGCAACCGCAGGCATTCAGCCTCTACCTTGTCAGAGTTACTCAAAACGTCGTGTTGAAATCCTTTTATTGGGATGTTCTGTCAACTGATTCTAGTCACTTACCGCGTCTAAAAAAAAATACGATAGCAGGCGAAGCATCATTCTCATCAACTTGCAGCATTGTAGGACACGTCATCTCTTAACGCGTCATCGCATGCCTGCCTCTGTTTGTGTAACCTAATCCGCCATCCTGATCATGATTAAGCTCCCTGCGTGTACGCTTTATCCACAATATACTTACTGAATAGATGTGTTCCGTGCTGTGTGTCTGTTACCTTCATAGCTGGGCTATAGCTTAGCTGGTTCTGGGAGTCTAGCTAGATGTAGGAGAATCTGCCATTATTTCTGAGTCAGTCAGGCTTTACTAGCGTAGCAATCCGTGGAGCTATAGCTTAGCTGTTCTGGGAGTCTAGCTAGGTGTTGGAGAATCTGCCATAGAGATTTCGGTCAGGCTTTACTAGCGTAGCAATCCGCTACAATGCAATCCGGTCAGGCTTTACTAAGGTAGCAATCCGTTACAATTCTCAACCGGTCTGGCTTTACTAAGGTAGCAATCCGCTACAAGTCTTTAACCAAGGCTTTACGAAGGTAGCAATCCGCTACATGTTCGAGACTTAGGGAGCAATCCGCTACAAGTCTACAAAACAATATACATAACTTATAGCAGTCCGCTACAGCATCAATTACGACTCCTTTTTCTTACACTCGGTTTAGACAGATCGCTAGAACGAATATTGTCACTGAGACTACTTCCTTAAAGGGAAATTTAAATAGAACCATTAATTGTGAAAATAAGGCAAATACGTTAATTCATTAAATTACTATTTCATCAAAACTTATAAGAGCACATTGCGTGATATAAAAAAATCAATGAATCTGCACTCCAATCATGCTTAATTAAAGCTCCACATAAACAAGATTGCAAAAGAAAATAGAAAGACGCTTTTGGTGATCAGTAGAATTAAGATATTGCGTTTAGGTTTCTCGTCGAATTGGCTTCCCATTTCTTGAACACACTCCGCTTGATGACGAATGCAAAGGAAGGTAAGAACTAAGACGAAGGAAATTAAATGAGTTAGGGGTTTTCTTGTAGCCATTTCTACCAGGGATTAACAGCTTCCTTTCATTTGAAAAGCGTTTATATTGATTTTTTGGCCTTTGGGTAGACAGAAAAGATATTAATGTTGTTAGGCAATGCGAATTTACGAAATTTAAATTTCGTTTAAATGAGACACAATCTGGAATAACGATTAGTGAAATTCATTGTTTGGAAAAACATTGACAGTGAAGCGGATCACACAGGATTAGCTTTGACTTATCCTAAGTAAGTCCCATGGTAAAATATTTATTTATTTATATCAAATGGCAGGCGTTTTGATGGTTATCATTGGCCCTTTAGTCGACTTCGGACTTCACTGAGGGGAGGAGGAACATCAAAGCCACAACAAGTGGAGAGGAGGGAGAGAATAATGATTCACAGATGTGAAAGAGTCAGGCAGACACAAAGGCAGAGAAAAGGTAAGATGAGTACGGTTGAAGTGGGTGAGTATGACATATTGTCGGGTCATGGTAGTTTGAAGTGAGAAGTCAACTGCCAGTTATTAGACTTTTTGCCGTATGTGTATACGTTGCCCAGGGTGTACCACGTGGAGGTAAGTCTATCGCACACCCCCAATGGCAAAATATCGTAGTNGACAGGCGTTTTGATAGTTATCATTAGCCCTTTAGTTGACTTCAGGCTTCACAGATGGGAAGGAACATCGAAGTGAAAAAGGTTGAGATGGGGGGTGGGGGACAGAAGAGTGTTTCAAAGATGTAAAAGAGACAGACACAAAGTTGGAAAAAAGGTGAGGTGATTACGGTGGAAGTGGTCGAATATGACATACAGTGGGATGATGGTAGTTTGGAGTCTGAAGTCAACTGCCGGTTAATAGACTGTTTTTGCCGTATGAGTATACGTTGCCCAGGGTGCACCACGTGGAGGTAAGTCTATTGCGCACCCCAAATTTGCATAAGAAAGGTTGAAGCAATTCAATTGATTGATTTCCAATTAAACATTTTTACCTTTTGTTGCAGCCTTTGCAAATCGCTTTCCTCTCATCCTATTTTTCCTCAGAAAATCACCCATTCGGCAACAGATACCGCAGTGTATGACTTTTTTTCTCACATCTATGTGTTCGAATAAGAAAAGTTAGATATATGGCCTCCTCAACCTTGGCCTTTTTTCACCCAAAGTGCAGTCAAACCCAACCCCCTCCCTCCGCCCGCCCGCCCCTCCTCTCCTTCAGTGTTGTGTGACTCAGTTACCACCATATGGAGGGATATTTTGGTGATAGTCGGAATATGTGTGTTGGCTTGAATCTACCCGGGGGTACTTCGTGGGAGAAATTCGGTAGTGAGATAAAAAATTCGAACCTTTATGAAATGCCCTCAGTTTGGCGAATTTGGAGATAGAGGCGGAGGGAGGTGAGAGTTTTTGCTTCTTACCTCACCCTTCACTCTTCCAAACTGCCTTGGTGGCCATACGGCTGCAAACTGCGAATTTGAAATGTCCCTTTTGAAATTCCCTTTAAAGGTCATGAGAGTGCTTCAGGGAGGAATGATTTAATGAATTGTCTCAAAATTCTAATATGTCACGAAGGTGTGAAATACTCTTATAATTCTCATGCCTTTTTTAAAGTTATTTTTAGTTCTATATACCCTCTGCTGAATAGTAATATACATTTTATAGTGATCTTGATTCATGATCGATTTTCGAAGCTCACATACGTACTCGTTTGCCTTAGTTTTACCGAAATGAAATGAAGTTTTGAAATCTCTATTTATTTCATGTTAGAAAGTAGTCTTAAATGCATTTAATAAATTTTCATAGGCTTCAAATGGATAATTTGTTACCATTGTTGTTTGGGTTGACAGTGTAACGTCAGTTTGGGATGGCAAAGGAGTGGGGATGAGGATTTGAAATTTGCATTTATCACTTTGATGTGATGCGGTTAACCGTTAAAAAGGCCGGAGAATGATTTGTAATAAAGTAGCGACTTTACCAGGTACTTTGCTGCCTGATGTTTCATGAAAAATTCAAACTCCTCTGTTTAAGCCTAAGTTAGCTTTAAAATCAGACAAAGTAGGCGTTTGAATCATCTCTGTTGTAACCATAATTTCCTCTAAATTATGCTCACACTACTTATAAAATCACTTTTCGAGTGGTCGTTTCTCTAAGGTTTCCAATTATTTTGAAAAGTTGACATGCACTAAGGGTATGAATTATCGTCGATTTTCTAAATGTTAATACATTGGTATTCTTTTTTATTCTCAAAATCTGCTCAACTAGATCATATTTCTACTCCATCCTACTTATATCACATTTCAGTAGCATGGGTGATTTTTTGAAAAGTTTGTGTTGATATTTAGTAGCTTGCTATTTTGATGTTATTGTGGTTGCAAACCCATTCGCTTATCCAAATAATCATTAACTGTATCCGA